ATCAACAATATTGCCTGTCATATTGATTAATAATGCACAAATTATGGTATTGACAAGTGACAGCTGTACACAGCTGCTAATTACACAAAATTTCTTTTCTTTTTTATGATATCACGTTATGTATTTGCCATAATTTGATGTTTTTGACATTTGATTGAGTGGTTTTCTTAGACCTCTGAAATAATTAAAAATTAATACACGTCAACAAAATCTGTTTACCTTGCATTTGAGAAATTTGAACAGAATTAAGTTTGGTGTTTTTACCCTGGCTTAAATTGTTCATTGTTTTTGTTTGATTTTGTTGTTTTTGTTGTTTTGTTTTGATTGATTTTGTTTTGTTTTTTTTGTTTTTTTTCATCAAACGTTGGATACTAAATGGATAAATTTGTTTCATGGGATTTTGATGGCTCTATACAAAAACAACATCAACAACAATACTTTATTTACATTTGATTAAATGAATACAAGAAGTATTGCTACCCGCAATTAGTTTTAAAACTATTCTTGGCGGGTGCAATAAAAAAGGGTATATAATATATAAGAGTGAATTTACAAAAAATAAAGAATAAGATATATTTACAAATAATGAGAAAAAAAAATGAACAGATGAAAGAAGTTTCATGACATACATATTTATAAATTCTACAGTATACACCTACTTGCGAAAACATTGTCATAGAAAATAGGACATTTGTATTTAGTAAAAAAAAGGAATAAATTAAAAAAGACAAAAGAAGATCACCGAGGCTGAACACTTTCCTTTGTCTTGTTTTAATTTATTCCTTTTTACTAAATTCAAATGTTCTATTTTCTATGACAACGTTTCTGCAAGTAGGTGTATATCTCGTAACAATAAAGGAGGCTGTTCTGCATTTGGTGATTGACTATGATTGTTTAATAATATACGTCAAGATTTGAGAGAAATCAATACAGTCATCAGCTAATTCCAGAATATCAAATAGAAGACTTTTTATTTTAAATCGAAATTGAAGTTTACTTAAAATTTTTAGTGATAATGGAAGGCCATAATATTTTTGGTTGTGGTTATTTTCAAATTAGTGTTTTTTCTTTTTGGTTTTTGCGTTCTCAATATGAAAGCATTGACTAGAGGCCGATCTTATATTGGACTATTACCGTTTGAAGCATGGGATTAATTTTATATTTTGTATTCTAAGTCTGTAAAATTGATATTTTATTGTATATTGCTAATAGGTGGGCGTACGATGACATAGTTTGTTTACATCCAAAATATAAAATTCAAAAAATAAGCAATCTGAAAATCATATAATTCAAGATTATATTGTCAACAAAACCTGAAAATTTTAGGGCAAACGCATTTTTACATTTCGAGATATCGGCACTACAAAATCTATCGAAAACATTCAGTGGTTGGCAAAATAATGCCGACCACGGTCATTTCTTTAGAAAATCTTGCAAATTCGGTGCTTGATATCTCTTGAAATATTTAACCAATTGCCTTTAAATTTGCAGGAATTGTTTAACAGTTATGAGTTGTTTTCATTTATGGGCTTGATTTTCTTGTGTCTTGAAATTCGATTTCTGACTTTTATGCAATTAGCTAAAACGTAAACATTGGCGGCGACCTATATCAGTAGAATTTCGATTGACTGACGTTATTGTTTAGTTCAAGTGCTGTGGATATGATAAAGGAGCACAAGACTACAAAGACAATGGTGAAAAAGTTCCAGCTTCCTGTCCCTCAGCTTCAAATTCCACAGTAGTAAAGGTGAGAATCACATTGCATTGGTAACTAAAATCATATTTAAAGTTCACATTTTGGATAAAAGAATTGTTCTTTGTTTATAACCAGTCATTACATCTTATTGACTGCCTTGTATGCCTATTTATTATTAATGTTTTTGAGCTGATTGCAAATGATGAAAAGTAATTAAAAAAATCATCAACAAAAGGACAAAAGGAATACAAGAAAAGCCCCTGGGGGTGTATATATAGTCTTTGACTACTTCAAGTCCGCTTAAATTGACTTGTCTTGGCCAATTATTTCTAGAATTTCAATGAAATATTAACCACGTTTCTATGAACAGGGAATTGATAAATTTTGATGTGAAATGAGACTGTGTTTGAGTTTGCATTAACAATGTAATTTAGAAACGATAATCTACTTTCTTTCCAGAACTGTGTCAAGGGACTTGAACAAAATTTGAAATCGCATCTTGTAATTATTGGTGGTGTTGGTGTTGGTATTGCATTTGTCCAGGTATTAACAACCTTTTAGTTATATAGTTCAAATATTTTCAATATTGATATTCTAAAATGAGGCTTTGGGACATGTGTGAGGAGCAACCAAAGATTTTTGTGACTTTTGATGACAAAATGACTGAAAAGGGATGAGAACTCTTGGACAACTTTTTTTCAGTCCATATGAAGTCTCATTCTTTACTGATTACACATATATCAACCAACCATGTTGTTTCAAACACTATGAACCAATGCAAACTATTAATAATAACTTTTAATTATTAGACTTCTTATAGTCATTTGAAGAGAACTGTTGGCACCTTAAATATGCATTGAATGTTTGAAAGTCATGTAAACAATTATTTCATAACAGCTGTGTTAAGGCCAATAAACTTCACCTGGAACCATCAGTCTTCCTTTAAATTGTCATCTTGCTTAAGCAATGTTTTGATTCTTGTCTTATTTTGATCAAAGAATTGAAGTCACAAAATACTTTTAACATCCCAGCCTTTATTTAGCTGCTCACTGTTCTTTTGAAACTACTGTTAATGTTAATGAAGACTTATATATATTATTTCTGGTATTATTCTGTATACAGCCTTTTGCACAAATTATGAGACATTTTTATATATATAAATATACAGTACCTAACCAAATATCAAAAACACCCCAGAAATTATGGTATATCTCTATTATATTTTGTCATGATTGCCTAGCATCAGGTTGTTACAGACAAAATATCAGCGACGGTATCCCATAATTTCTTGGGTGTTTTTGATATTTGGTTAGGTATATTTATATATATAAAAATGTCTCATAATTTGTGCAAAAGGCTGTATTAAAGTGTTATTCTGTGTTTCAGCTTGTTGGAATCCTCTTTGCCTGCTGCATGATGAGATCCATCAAGAAAGAGTATGAGGTCGTGTAATTCTTGTAGTCTAATATTTGCAGTCATATTCACCATAAAGTTCTGTGAGCTTGGTGAAGGGGTAGTACCTTTAATCACATAATTGTTCTTYCTTTAATGTATTTTCATGTAGTCCAGAGAGTCATTCTCTTAAATGATTCTTTAGAGTGTCAAATTATAAAGTTTAAATAAGGGATGGGTCATATTTGCATAGTCAGTATATCAGGTCGATCAGGTTCTTGTTACTTWGACGGGCTTTGACTCCAATCATTCTTATAAGTCATGTCAGTAGCCAGAACCTCAGCCCTAAAGCGTAACCATAGTCCCTTTCAGTCATGCAATCTCCCTTCAACAATCGCCGTTCTCACCGACAACGTTTTTTTAAAAAAATAGGCGTATGTAATCTATCTTACATCAAATCTTTGAAAAATCGTCCCTCTGATTTCTTTACTCAGTATTCATTTTTGGTACTCAGAGTATAGTGTCAACAGAACACTATTCTCTATTTTTTTGTGCTTAAAGGTACTCCGCTGTTTTTCGAAAGATTTGTACTATCATTTGTACTGAGAASCTCGCTAAAAAGTGTTTAATTCAAACTGATTTAAATCTGTATAACTTGTATAGTGCATTGTCATATAAATCAAACTTGTTTTCGCATAGCTTAGCTTCTATAAATACGAGGAGTGACTTATAACGATAAAGAAAAACAACTTTATACTTTTAGTRTGTCTAGTTTCGYGTTATCAGYGTCTTTCRAGGCACCRCAGCAGTTATCGCTGAGTTCYAWCTCATCGAGACCGAGCTCCAACAACTCCTYATTAACTGTTAATATTGATTGCTTCCATACTTGCACTATCGTTAAATGTTGTAAAGTCTAGGGGAATAAATTAATTAAATTAATTTTGTTTGTGAACTTCTGTTGTTACTTCCGTGTTTATATAAGGGTTTTGTTCGACCTTGAAAGAATACTAGGGCTGTAGCTAGTGAACTAAAAAACCGTGAAATAGTTATTAAACCAATACTAGAGTGCTAGAGTGGAGTGAAGTTCTTAAATCCGTGAAACAAATCTTGACTAATAGTGTTTTTAGTTAAAGCGTGCAAAATTGTAATTATTGTTTTTTGTACTATTTTATCCGCTAATTCTTTTGTTTTCCTATGTGTACTAGCACTGTTTTGCACAGGTTAGTAATAAGTGTTTCACAGAATTTGTTTTGTGTATTTGATGAATGCTAGAGTTTTTTCAAAAAACCTTGAAACAATATTTAATAACCATAGTATGATAAAGTGTGTTTTCCCTGAAAGACTGAGAAAAACGTAGAAAATGAGAATCGCCGTTTAAACCGTAGATCTCTAAATGCATTATTTCACGGGTTAAAGTCTTCACTCGAAAATTCTCAGTTAAGTCACCTCGGAAGCATCGTAGCACGATTTCTCACGATAAAATCTGTAGATAGGACAGTATTTCGTAGTTTAGTCACGATGTGCACTGTTTCCAGATGATGTCCTCTTATTCACACACTCTTGACGTCATAAAATGYTCAAAACTCAAGTGGGTCCACGAACGAAGTGAGACTTTTGAGTGGGAGGCGGAGAAGATTGGAACGAGCGGGAAATATAAGCAAGCAAATTATGTTTTATAAGAMGAACCGAAATTGCGATAAGAACACTTAGAGAGACTATATACACGCATCAGAGTGATGTACTGGTGAATCAAAATGCCTGGCCACCCACACTAAATTAACGCATGGTGAAGACGCTCAATTAGATTTCCAACCTTCCATGTCCACAACAAGCGCTTTTGAATCCAAATTATCTTTAACTTTTCCTATCACTATTTTTTCTGGTTGTTGAACGTGCAAAGATGGCTGATAATTCCGTGATCAATACATCTAAGAGTCAGGGCTTTTGAATCCAAATGATCTTTAACTATCCCATCACTGTTTATTTATGCATTTGTTCAATGTGCAAACATCGGGCTGATAATTTTGTGATATATTAAAGAGTCAGGGCTTTTGAATTCAAATGATCTTTAAGTTATCCATCACCGTTTTTTTTCTGCATTTGTTCAATGTGCAAAGATGGCTGATAATGTTGTGATACATCTTTAGAGTGGTTGTTATCACAGCTATCTTTTAACACCGCGGTTTTTATGTACATAAGTTGTGAATGGATGTAGATCCTCTGGGATGACACGAACAGATTTAACACGTCTCGAAAATCGTTTTACTGTTGTTGTTGTTGTTTTGTTTTTGTTATGTTTTTTTTTTTCAAGTTCGGAACCTACTTTCTTAGTAGAACCATTACGCACACGACAAACAACCCAACTTGCATTTTGGGCGCAGCATTGTTGAGTGTTCAAGATTTTGTAGAAACATAAAAACGACGTTATAAACGACGTTAGCTAGTTGAACAGCAGCGCTGTTCGCAACGAATTATTGGGGTTCGGCATCGTCCATTTCTCGGCCTAAATGCATATATTTTGTGAGTTCAGTTGATAAGTCGAATTAAAGTGGGTGAATTACAGCAARTGTGTTGACAAGAACCTTCCTGTTTTTATAGTAATGATGTTCCGAATCTACTTTGTCAAATCCCACTTTCATTTCATTCGCGCTTTCTATAAATGTCTGAATGATGAAGCTCCTTGCCGCCAATTCGTCCCTGGATATAGTGATGTAATCTGACAAAGTACGCCAGGATCATATTTTTGATTTCTGTTTAATTCATTCAACATTATACCCTGTTTTTCTATCAGCTTCACTCATAACCATAGTAGCCTTAAAATCGTCATCTTTTCATTTTCTCTTGTGAAATTGTTACCCATTTGTTTAGCGCCTTTTCRATAATCAGCGAAAATGTAGTTTTTGTACGCATATCAATGATTGATCTGGCCAATAGACTCATTTACATACTGAACCTTGACGTCACTCGACAACTAAAAGGATCTTTACTTATGCGGCGAAAACTCGACATTGATAAAATTTGATTACCGCACATTGGGCCTTCRAAACTAGTTTAGAAAGAATCGAAATACTTTTTGCCCACTTTAAGGAGATYGTTYGRCAGTATTACKASATTTTCGCTGGCAAGGAACAATTGATGTCAGAGCGGGCTTGGGAGTTTTTACTGTTAGTACAAGGTAAGTTGCCTCTGTGCTTAAACGAAATATTGGTACTACATTTATTTGTTACTGTTCTTATAGCCGTTGCTCTTAAAAAAGAATTTTTCTCTTTTTGTAAATAGTATTGTTCAACTTGGAACTAAAAACACTGTTTGAGTGCTCCTGACAAAACATTCTATTTAGCACAATTTTGTTCTCTCCAAAAACGACCAGTTTTCTTAAAATCCTTAATCACAGACTCCTTTTCAGAATATAGAAATTATAGGTASAATATATTTCAATAAACTTTCCCTAATATATGAAAAGAGTTTTCAAAAATTTAAACTGATTTTTCGAGGCTATCGAGCGATCACTGTGTAGAGTATTTTGTTTTATTTGTGCTAGGGAGAATTGATTTCCAAGTGGATTTTGCTAAGTGTTTTCCCAAAGCAAGCTTTAAGTTCCTCATGTTGGTATATCATTAGATCCAATCGCCAAACTTTTATCTTAATGAAAATCTCTCTTGAMGGTTGTTTGCAATGGAACGCTTGATCGCATTAATATCAACCATGAAATGCACTTCTTTTCTTTGTGAGTGTGTCGCTTATGACAATATTTGGAAGTCTTCGTTTACAAAATGAACGTTCGATTTCGTATAACGAGCATGRAATCGAACGCTATTATATTTCGACTKCTGAAAGAGAAATAGAAATGGGACATTTGACCGCTTTTGTCTTTGTTTTAGTCCAGTTTTATTGGTCGTATTTTTAACTCTGCCTTCAGGTGTTTTAGCACACAGGTGCGATTARAACGGAAAGAGCCGACTTTCTTTCTKGCGCTTTCCGACAAAGATATACGATTCAAAAGTTTCTTTCAAACACTGCTAAATTATTCATGTTATAAATTCCTTACTTATTGATGATAAATCTCTGTTAAAACATGACCAATAGCCCTTGACTAGTACATAATCTAGCAAAAAGAGGAGGAATTTCTCGAACCATTGAAACCGCCTGACAACGATAATTGACCGCTGGTCATAATAATTATTTTTTGTTTTATTTATTTATTTGTTTGTTTGTTTGTTTTTGTTTTTTTTGTTTTTCAGTTTATTTTGTGTTACATGATAGAGATAGCTGTAGAATTTGCGTGACATGTTTTRAGTGGGATAGAAATATTGGTGTTTATCCCTTTCAAGAACTGGATAAAAACGAAAAATCACAACATAAATATTACAAAATCAGTAAAAAAAAACATAAAACAAAACAAAACAAAAAGCAAACACACAACAACTTAAAACGGTCACTAAATTTGCGCTTTCAGGAATTTTGACTATGAATTCGGATAAAGACCTCTTGGAAGCTCAAAATGACTAAAAAGCAATCAAATGTGTGTGGGTTAAGTTAAGTGCCTCGAGGAAAATTCATCCTTTAATCGATGAGGTGATTTCACAACAAGGAGAAATCTCGTTTTTCCATCCTGCAAAATATAAAAAACGACTGACGCAACTGCTAAAAAGAAAGCAAAAGTTGAGATAAAACAGCTAGAAAACAATTAGAGAAAATGAGATCTGAAATCTATATTAAAAAGAGAGGTGAAGAGAGAAAGAGAACARAAAATAAAAACGGAGGAAAGCATGAAAAGAAAATGTAAAAAAAGRAAAAAGAACGCGGACAGCTTCTCTTTAAGAGGAGAATAAAACAGACTGTTATGAAAAGAAAGAAAAGAACTGTCAATKTTTTTGTAAAGTCTACTTTTAATTATAATTAACGTCAATCAAAGACAGAAAAATTGGAAGATGTAAAATAGTAAAGAAAACAGTATTGAAATGAAAGGACAGTCTATTTCAATAAAGAGTACTTTACTTAAAAAGGTCAATCTTCTTTAATAACATTTCATCCCTTTGAAATTTGAAATTTCACGACAAACATTCAATAGTCGAGCCATTTTAGGCGTAWATCTTAGTGTCAGCTGTTTTGCTTTGGACTTGCTTCCGGCGTCTCGGTCGTCGCCCACGTCAACCTTGATGTTTACTTCGATGGTCACTTATAGCTAAATAGTATKAAAACCAAAGCTACTTTTTTGAAGTTGAAAAAAATAGTCGTTTCCACGAAATACTGGTTGCCATTACTGAAAAGGCTGGGCTGGTAACTAACGGCCACGAGGCTGAGATATAGCGCAAACCTCGATCGTACGAGAACACGAGGAATTTTCTGCACTAAAGGTACGACTTATACTTGTATGAATTTCTCAGTCAAAACAATTTGGTTGCTTACTTAAAACTCCTCACAAAATCTAACTGACATCACCGAGCAATTTAAAAAAACTTAATGATGACGATACGTCACATCATTTTTTAACGAGCTAAAAACTGAGACTCCGTCAACACTAATGACGATTTTTTGTGACGTTTTTCGACTCTTCTAAATCCTCTTAAARATAAAAGGGACGCAAATGTGCTATGAAAATTCATGATTATGGCGGATAGGGGATGTCTRCAGGAAACYTGATTTGACAGCTCGCGTTCAACGCCCTCAGGATACTAGTTAATGCTTGTTGTCAAATTGGGTTATTAATAGATCWAGCTCCTATATTCCATACGTCGTCTAGTGTTCTCTCTAAATGCGTATTGTCAACTGATCGTGTATGGAGAAGCGCCCGTAATATATAGTAGTGCGTGTCCGTGATATTAGAGGTCATTCATCATTCATTTAATCATTCAACTCACCCCAATAGGTCGCGAGGAAGTGCCCGTAGTACAGAGGTGTCCGTGATAAAGAGGAGAATTGTGAAAAAGTAGAGAAAGTATGAATCGTTCAATCAATCATCAATCAATCAATCAATCCGATCGATCAAGCAATCAACATGWACAAACAATTGATCAATCAATTAATTTTTTAATAACTAATAATCAAATAAAGAAACAAAGAAATCAATATGTCAACAAAATAGAAGAATGAATAACAAATAAGAAGAATAATTCTTATTCCATTCTACAGAAGACTTCATTGTTCGTTTCATACAGTAATGGATAGCCTTAAAGGATCACTGAGAAAAGACACTCCTGCTCATGTACAAATGCCAAGTTAGTATATTGCATGAGTCACCGAGCTGTATATAACGATGAACAATTAGTCTTGCTATGGAATAATCAACAATTGATTGTTTGACAAAATGCAGTGGTGGATTCAGCTAGTAGGGAGTGCATCACTTATGTTTGGGACCTTACCGTTGTTATGCACCTTGTCTACCAGGTGACTTTTATCCCTCCTGGATCCGCCCTTGGGATGACGATATATACATATACTGGATCCGCCCTTGGGATGACGATATATACATATACTGGATCCGCCCTTGGGATGACGATATATACATATACTGCAGTATCTATTTTGTGTCCGTATATGACTATGTATTTAATCTTGCAATTCGCAGACAAATTGCAGCATCAAATGGAAAAAGTATCGTTAAACCCAACCAATGAAGACGTTGATGATATCAACCAGTTACAGGAAAATAAGGTATTGAATATACTAGTCCAGGGAATTCTAAAAGGTAATCCTAGGGAACTCTAGGGAACTCTAGATGAAAAAAATCCTTGGACCCACAACTGAAGGCACCGGCCAACAATGTGTATGTATGGGTTTTTTTTTCGGCCTCAGATAGCTTCAACCTTCTTCTTTGATTATGAACCTAGCGAAGTAAACACACATTCCATTTGCCTCATTCCTGTAGGCTATTCTACCAAATATGACATCACACAGTATAATTCGTGACACTGGGATCAAAAAGTGTCCGCCTTATCATGGACCACGGCATATCAGTATATATGCACCACGCGCGTCATTTGACACTAATCCAGATTAGCAGAAAACAGGATTCGAACCAGGATAAGCATTAATCGACCTTTATGCAGGAACATGACTTTCTTTTCTCGGTATATTTAGAACAAGCTATAGTTAGAAATAGCTAGAGACGGTTTGACTGGCGTGAATAATTATTTTCCTCATTAAAGAAAAGCTTCTTATCTAATCAATGCTAAACTACTAGTGCAACAATGTAGTTCTATGCTGAACTTCTATTCAGAGCTAAACGGACTGTTAATRTTTTATAGATTCAATTACTCCTCACCTACCTTAAAAATCCAATTTCCCATCCCTCTCTTTAATGTACTTTTACTTATGTTATTCTACATGAAGGAAATTAAAAGTACTGTTACTACAAAACGATCGCGAAAACCCACRCCAGCCCACGTTCAGAACCAACCCTCCAAGAATAAAAGTAAGTAGTGTTTTTTAGTATCGTCGATTCCAGACAGTTCCATTATTCGGTATCTACATTGTTTATTCCCGTTGCCGCAACACACTCCTATCAGTGTATTTTCTTATTTCAGTGCCACAAATAAACAGGGATGGTTAGTTAATAAAGTATAAGTTTAAATTTTTGGTAGAGACTGAATCCATGTTTGACCAAATACTGTTGTCGGCCATTTTCCCAATTTTTTGGCCCCAATATTTTTTACCGCAGTGACTTATATTGGTAGGACGATGTCATCWTCGAAAGTCTATAATACTTGAAAGTGATATATAAATCACAGGGTGAGATATCTAGTAATCCCTCACTTCAWTTCAAGAGTTTGAATTCCTGATTTCCAATCTTTACTTGAGATCCAAAAGTTCGKACTCGRCGGCYAYATTTGTTTGAGAAAATCTGTTCTATCAAGATAATTATGTCGCATCACTTCAACTGAAAACAGCGTAGGATTTTTATCTATTGTTTTATTAGATTACTAGTAATGTCATCCCTTTTCTCATATCTTTGACATCAGTTTATCTGAAAAGGTATAAAGCTTTTGTCGATGAGATAAATATTCTCGGTTCCGACTTTCCTGTTTGTTGAGTTAGATATATATCTATCGTTGCTTCTTTTGATATTTTTTTGTCTTTATTATCATTCACACCTAAATATTGTAGGACTGTTGTCATACAAAACAAAAAACTAAATTAAAGTCAATTCCATTAACGTAGCTATTCACTTGTAATTTCAATCCCGCGAAGGATTTAGATTTTAAACTCCACTGAGCTCATGCTTGCAAGTTAAATGTTACTGACATTGCTTGAGCTTGAGGTTGAATAATCTTGCAAAAAATACATGATATATGCAAATGGCTTTGTTGTTGGCTTTAGACGTCAACTACTGACCAACATTAATGGGATTGACTGTAACATTASAAAAAMTATAACATTTATTGACAGAAATTGWTYTAAATTACAAAGATACTARCTTAACTTGAGTGACTAGTCTTATAGTTTATATATTTCTGTTTTTTGACATACAATTCTTTTCCAAAAAGGTTTAGTTTTCATTTTCATATGACAATGTTCTTGAAGTAAGGTGAAAACAGGTTCTTAATTCTTGTTTAAGAAGCAACTTCATTTGACGAGGATATCATAGAGCAGGAGGAGGAAGATATTGAAGAAACAGAAACGTTTACAGAGACATCAAAGGTACAACTTCGAGCTGGACGTGTCAGCTCCAAGGGAGTTTGCACATACGTGGACCAGCCCATGTCATTCCATGTTTTATTTGCATAAAACATTGGTTTGCAATGGTGACGATACACTCGTGTTCAAGAACATCAATACTCCATGTTACAGTTCCCAGCGCCATCTTGAAATGCAGCCGAGCCTTTGCATCAAAGCGAGACAATAATAGGCCGTTTGCATTATGACGTAACTTTACTACAACCACGTCCCTGCTACAACTACCAGAGAGCCTTGCGCATTTTCATTGTTATTCAAATTTTTAATCTCCTAGGAGATTTATAAAACAATTGGCACTAATTGCATTACAAAAGGAAGTTGGCAAAGCATTCTGGTAGTTGTAGTAAATGACGCGCCATAATGCATATCGCCTATTGTCTTTAGTTGTCTTTAAAAGGTAACCCATTCCACGAGGAACACTTCCCTCTGGAATCTTCTTGGCCGAGCAGGTCATATCGAAGACAGGTAGCCCAAGAGTAGAAAGAAGAACAGAAAGAAAGAGAGACCCATGCGGAGGAGACCAAATTAAAAATATCCCTGTATCTAAGATACAGAATAAAACACAATACTATTCTCTCTTTGATTCAAAGGCTCGGTTGTCTTTCAAGGTGCTGGGAAACCTGGGAACTTCAATATCGCACTGAAACAAGTGTTGATAACGAAACTATGCAAATCACAATGAGTACAATTATTKAACGTCTTTTTTTGATGTAATTGGAAAGTATAAATCGAAACACACTCTTTTCACCTTAGACAGAAAACAAGAGAGTTGAGAATACTACAAGAATCTATCGCAAAGACACTCCAGCGGTCGTCAAAACAGAGCATTTCAAAGGTAAGCGTCAAAAACCTGTCAACCAGAATCTACYAGTCATGATGTTAAGCTGCTTTCTCGTGAGGTATCGGCTCAAGAGCATTAGGCCTAAGCACGTGCAACTGAACTCAATCTTTTCTAAAAATGAGGAAAACCACCGTGGAAATTTTTTTCGTGCTTCATGGAGGGCGCTTAAAAACTCGATTTTTTTTGAAAATTTAAAGTTATGAAATTTTCGATAATAACCGATTTGTATCATGGCGTCATTAACTACAACTACCAGAATGCTTTGCCAACTTCCTTTTGTAATGCAATTAGTGCCAATTGTTTTATAAATCTCCAAGGAGATTTCAATCTAAAAAGCAAAAAAAATTGAATAACAATGAAAATGCAAATGCGTAAGGCTCTCTGGTAGTTGTAGTAAACTTACGCCATCATGCAATGGCCTATCCCGAAAAAGCCGCGAACTATCATAGGGGCCTGRGTCGACCCTAGTATGAYGTCWAGTAAGGAACCAAAGTTCTCACRTCGGTTGATATTTCAGCTGAGAATTGTTAAASGTCGGCTTATATTTCAAAAGCGTTCAATACCTTCTAATCTCCACCATTTACTTTAAAAGGTTCCGGCAAAATGAGAGACGATYCCTTTGAGACGTCACTTTAGCACCAGGCCCCTGATTCAAAGAGAGCGCATTTTTCCGAACTGGCGGGAAATTCAAAATAATCAGATTAATATCGGGAATTTCATCCAGTTCAAAATTTTTTTGCGGCAAGTTACTATTTAAATAGGATTGATTATCTTATATTCAACCAGAATCCTATACCCATTCAATCCGAGCAAGCATATAGTGATTTGACTTAAAATTAAATTAGACTTAAATTAAAATAGATTGCACGTGGAGTAGTGACAGCATCAAAGAAGAAGACGACGAAAATGCCGAGACAGAAGAGGACGCTGAAAATACACTAACGGTAACTATTGACTTTTATTTTTACCGATTATTAAGTAATGCAGGAAACAGCAGTCTGAAAAAATTCTTCACCAACCATGTGGGCACAGTTTTCGATGAAAATAAGCCCTTTATCATAGCAACCAATTTAAACGCACGAAATAAAATGAAAAAAAATAAATAAAGTTTATGCACAATAGTTAATTTATTAATTTCTAAATTCAGGATAAGCGCAAAATGTTGTATAACTGAACAACGATATGAAAAGTYTCGTTTGTAGGTCTTTTTTGCTAATCGTCAGTTTTGGCGCCAAATGAGAACTAAAACTGGAATAAATGAAAGAAAAATTAGCTATATAATGATTAATCTCATTAGTRTGAAGTAAATTTTATGAATAAAACGGAATAGCAGTCGTTTGTACGTATCAAAGGACTATTAAAGTTTTGATATATTTTTATCCCATTAAAGTGTTACCGACTTCGCAAGCCATCGATTCTTCTATGCAGTCATCCATCATTAGGTAAACTCTACTATTAAACTACAACCAAATAAACAGAAACTCTAAAACAGATTAAATCATTAAAAACATTCTTGAAAGAGACATAATTCAATATCAGACAACGAAGATAAAAGACATAAACACAGACTAACTACTTAATATGTGAAGTAAAAAAACAATTAGAAGACTGAGATAAGCAAAATAAAACTAAAACAGCGAAATATGTCAACAAAACATCATCTTCAATATTACCCAGGATATTACTCTTTAGTATAAACATACTAATGGTCTATCACTCATACTGCGCTGTGATTGGCTACTCTACTAATGGTCTAATTTGTGATAGACCACTCGCGGGAAAATCAAAATAAATAAACTATAAATTATAAATTATATTAAGGATATGTCAATTTGTTTTCATTATTTGACCGATTAGTATGTTTATACTAAAATAATTAGACCTCTCGGCCTCGTGGACTACGAGCAATAGCCCATTTGGCCTCGCGGACTCGGCCTCATGGGCTATTAGCTCATAGTCCACTCGACCTCGAGGTCTAATTGTTAAATAGCTGCTAATTAAACATCCAATACTAAAACTATATAATATACTCTTCTTCTTCTCCAGAAAAATAGAGAAAAGTAAAATCATAACCCGGCCTGCCAAACGTGGTTAAAAGATGAGTACACATCATGTCTGCGGATCTATGGAAAGTTAGGTTTCGTACATTGTTTTAGTGCGTTTTCCGCTTTGCGAAGTCCTTTATKAGTATATTYTAYTTTGCAAAGACCTTGAAAAGGGCTGCTTCTGGTATAGGAACTTAGTAAGAAACGTGAAMAAGGGCGTTTTCTATTTGTTTAAAACTTTCAGAGAAATTCCAGATGAAACGTKAAATGGTTCGCGTTGAGACGATCGACTTTCCCGCCTTTTTTTTGTTCTAGCTTCCGGTTGACGCGACGCGGCGTGTACCATTTGCACTTCCCGCTCTTTTTTGAAAAAAAAATTAAAAAGCGCCCGTTTTCACTATTTTATTTGGCATCATTCGCTTAAATCAACCCAGGTACGCTAAATCTTTAGACTCAATCACTTCACTGATTAAAAATGACAGAGTACGAKCCCATTTTTATAGTTAATAGTCTTATTGTCCTCCGTCAAAGAGATTTGAAAGCGACACAGAAACCTCAAGAAAACGCATCAATGTCGCATTCATTTAAAACTGCATGTAAAAAAMCTCTGTAGATAAATGTTACATTGAATATATTGATATTTAGAATAATTTCTGAAATTTGCTGTCTCAATATATAATATATGATATAATTTGACCGAACAAGAGTTCGGAAAACATTCATGTTATCAGCAAGATGTTGCAYGTTGCTATTTTGAAATTTGTACATTAAATACTGTAAAGTAGAATAGCTATTGCACTACAACAAAGTATGAATAGACATTTTGTTTTCTCAAACTAAAAAAAAAATGAACGTGCATCAATAAACGCACTAAGATTTCCTCTCAGCATCCCGGGAAGACGCCCTCGAACCAACGTTCCTCGAACCTTGTCTCCAGGTCCATGTCGGCCGACTCCTTTTCAACATGGCGGTCGAGATGGCCCTGTGGACGAGATTGGACGTCCTCTTCCTCCGTGCCCCACGTGCTTGTTGTTGATAGAAGCAGAGGAGGAGAGCACCACAGGGAGATGGAGACCAGTTATAAGACGACAAAATTGATGGCTATTTGTTTGCGCGGAAATGCTATGATTAGCATGCCTGAGAGGGTAAATTTTAGGGCCACTAATATTCAACTCCTATATTTCTTCACTTGATAATTTTAAAACTGCTCTTTAAAACCTTCTTATTTAAACAAACTTATGATCTGATGATGATGATGATGATGATGATGATGTTTGATCCATTTTTTGCAAAGATATATTTACTTAGAAAGTGTAAAAGTGTCATTTTCATTAAAAGTCTTAACGTAATGATTCTAGCCAGCCCAATGTTGAATCTCTTTTGAAACTGTTAAAGAATAATAAATCGTCAATTTTATTGAAGACATAAGCATACTTATCGTACTTTATCGTAAAAAATGTCCTTAACAAAAGATTAAGCGAAAGATTGGAAACACATTTTCACTAATCTCACGCGCATTGGTATTGCTTGGTATGGGGCAAGATATAACATGCCCAGACCCAGAGTCCCAAGAACATTTTTAGCCCGCTCAAACGAACTGTCTGTCGCGGCCGGGACTACAGAATAATAACTAGTGCCTGACCAGCCGATGTGTTCCTGAAAACTGGAAGTTTGCACTACTATTACAGGCGCGTAGCGTCCTTTACACATATACGCACGTGCGTACTAGTGGCAAGGAAATATTAATTTTTTTATATTATTGTCTATGCTTGCTCTCTTGCNTGAAAATCTCTCTCGAGTTCCTCGTCAGTTTTGCTTACGTTACACGCTCGAGTTGCCTTGGCTTCCCAGCAATTAGTCATCATTTCGCTGAGATAGCCTTGCTTAGGGTAGCTTGAAATGGTATGGGATCAAGTCCAGCGATCAKTTGAAAAGATCGCGATCACATGTGAAAATAAATTTAGGACCCAATCAAATCGCTCGTTATGCAGATTATCAAATTTTCAATCAATCATAAAAAAGACTTTTCAAACTGGTTTTTCAAATTACATCCAGTTCAGACGCCATCTTGCTTTTGATTGAGGCTATCTGATGACGCTTTCTCGAGGTAGGAAAATTGGTATTATTTTTCTTTCCAGTGACTATTTCATAGCTTTCATGAAATCTTTAAAGTTGCGTAGCACTTTTACTTTGAAAAAAATATTGGCGACGACATCCCATAATTTCTGATATATTTTATATATACTTGAAATATGAGTCAAAAAGATCATAATTTCTGCATTCTGCATATTGCTGTATGACATTTAGGTTGTTGGAATGTAGATTAGATAGTGAGACTTAAAGTAACATGATAGACTACAATCGTTGACAAAATACCTTGGACCGTAGCGCTATTTTTGCACAATATCTATGATTATCTTCGTGTATCTCAGTACTTATCCCCCCATACCCCCGTGGAGCAATGTTGCTAGTGACCTTGGATGCTTGTGTCGTTTGGACAGTCGCAAAACGATCACATTGMAACCATTTCCACACAACATTGCCTTTAGGGGGTCAAGGGGGATGCATTTCTTATATGGTAATGCTAAAAATAGCTAAGTTTAACATTATGGTCCAAGGTTTTTGGCAACGATTGTAGTTGGTTTCGGTTGGGCATTTAGTTAATTTACCATTTGATATGCATGGCTTCTTAAATACATAGTGAAAGCAAGAATGCGTTACTTTCACTTGTTTATTCGCACGCTACGATATTCGTTTTTGACGGCTCTCTGCAACGAYGTCAAAGCGATAGAAATATCGAGCCAGGAAAAATATCCTGTTTTTCTCCTTTTTCCCCAAAATAGCCCAACTTCACGCTCTAAGAGCGTCTAGTTCAAAATATGCAAAATTCCGTAAGACTTCTGTTTTTGACACTTTTGAGTAAAGCTTTAAAAGCAACATTTAGTTTCTATCGAAAAACACTAAAAAAACGTTGAAGTCACGCACAGAAGGCCGGCGTCATCCTTTTGGAGGTGGATTTTCTAAGTATTTTAATCGCAATCTCTCATAGTTCTATTCATACTTGCCTAACCCTGATTTATAGGGCGTTTGTGATTCGGAATGCATAAAACATTGAGGGATATGAGTTATAAGATATTGACGCAAAAAGAATACTGATTATGCTGCTATTTGGGGATATTTGAAT